TAGTCATCAATAAGAGAATTGAAAGTATCCCAGGAAGAAAGGTCAGTCTCTAGAACAAATGCAGTTGTCATAATTGGATATTAGCTTACAGAGATAAGAAACAAGGCCTCCAGTTATTATCTCCTAGAGTCAGCATTAAACAGTTTAAGCACTGAAGTCTTCCCCTAAACACCATCAGATGACTAGAGGAAAACATAGGGAACACAGTTTTGCATAGGCAAAAAAATCTTAAATTCACCAAAGCACAGGCATTCAAAGCCAAAATAAACACATGCGGATGTATCAAACTAAAAAACTTCTGTGTAGTAAAGGACATGGTCAACAAAGTGAAAGCAAAATATTTTCATTTTATAAATTTTAATTGGAATTTTTGCTGTGCATCTTGTTGTATTATCAGGCATAAGAATTTTTCCGTCTCTACGAAACATGAATTTTCTTTGATTGTCTTTTAAAAGTTCTGTGCTTTTATTTATATTTGAGCTCCAATTTGAGAAAAAAATTTCATATGGGTATTAGGATTATGCTGAAATTGGTCTGATTTTTCACTTGGATTCTCCATTGTTCCCATGTCATTTACTTTAAAGAATATTCTTTCTCTGCTGAATATTTCTTTTATGCCTATGTTAAAAGACATATGGGCCAGTCATACAAATTAAAGGAGCAAAAACATAATCACCAGTATCAGAAGTGAAAAAGTTCCTCGTTTTAATAACCTTTGGCAGTTTAGTAAGGAATCACTACAGATGCCTCACTATAGAAAAAGTTGACTTAATAACATAAAACATTTAATTTCTAGAAAACTACAAAATGATAAAACCATCCATGTGAAATAATGTTAATGTCTCATAATCATTAAATACTTTGAATTCATAATGTCAAAGCTCCTCAAAAGGGCACTTATAATGCAGAATGACTTATTTGTGAAAATGCATTTAACACTGAAACTAGAACCAACACAAGTTTTGGGGCAGTCTCCAGTAATGAGCACATATTATGTAGTCGCTGAAACCAGATAATAACAGCACCAAAAATGAAAAGACAACCTCTCCTAAGTGTAACATAGCATTCTTACTTTGCCCAGTTTGCCCAACCCCCGGGCCTGGACCATGTGATCACCAGTGGGAGTTATGACCCACTAGGGGAGTTTCCCACAATACCCCACTTGGCTCACTCTCTGACCCAGATCTCATACATGCCAGTGGGTGCTACGCCCTTGCCTGGCATAGCCTGCCCTCCATCTTGGCATTGTATGAGCTGGTGAATGTTGCAGCCCGTTCCACCCCACACCTTGTTTTAGGAATGCTTATGCAGGTGCTGCAGCCTGGGTCTGCCTGGACTGTTCTCAGTCCCTGTACCCATGAGTGATGGTCGTTTCCATGTTCACACCTAGCTCAGCCCATCACCAACCCAACTCTTGAGTTAACCAGCATGACTTCTACTTTCCACAGGATTGGGCCCACACATTCCCCACAGAATTTACCCCTGGACCTGGTTCTTTCATGTGTGGTTAACGTCATGGCCCTGCCTAATGTGACCCATCCCCTGTTCCGACATTCAGTTGGGTACTAGGATCTAGCCCTGCCAGACAGGTCCCCAACCCTGGCTTTCACGTGGACTGGCATGTGGTCAGCAGTGTTTTTTGATAACATGCCCTACTCAGGATTCCCATGTGGGCTGGTGTATTAGTCTGACCCATACAGATCTTCTGACCTTTCCCCTCCAAACCATCAGGTCTTAGTCCCCTTGCTTACCTGCAAGTACAGTGACCCTGTCATTGGAAGTCCCTCAGGATTTTTTCCTCACCAACACACGCAGTGGCCTTATTCCATGGATGTCTTAGGCAGCAATTCCACAACCCCAAAATCTCATAGCTCACTGCCTGGCAGCCAGTGGGCAGAGCATGGTGCCAATTGGCATGCTGGTCTTCATGCTCTGCCCAGGACTCGCTCACTGCGTCGCAGCGGTGGCTGTGGCTAGGGTCCCAAGCATTGAGTCTGACCTGGCTCAGGTGTTCCCAGCAGCCGCCAGGCTTCTGGAAGCTTCCATCACCCAAGCCCCGAGGTTGAACTACATTTTTTTAGTTTTTTGCTGAGAATTTTTTGTATTCTGGATATTTGGAATTTTACTGTATGGAATCCTGGTCTTAATTCAGTTGTATATAGAATATCATCATCATCATCATCTTTTGAAGGAGGCAATTTACCTTATTGGATTTAGGCCATTGGTTGCCACTACTTGTGAAGGTTGTGGGTTCACTGCTTTTTCCATTCTCAGTTTGTTCCTGCGTGTGTGCCACCCAGTGGTCACTCTCGGAACTGTGATTTGGTCAGCGTTGAGCTTGGAGGTTGATGAATGATTTTATTCCATTTTCCACAGGATCCTTTCCTTCAGTCATCTAGTTAGGCTGCTAGGACTTTGGTGACTGTACATTGTGGTGCATTGTGTGTGTGTGTGTGTGTGTGTGTTTAAATTGCTGTTATTTCCCATGATACTCTCCTATGTATCCTTCCCTCCCCATTCTCCACTCCTCTCCTCCTCAGTATCACAGCGGTACAGTTGTTCAGCAATAATCACAGGTCCAGTTTGCTGCTATATAAGTGTATCAGGGCATTGTAGGTCTAGGCAATGGTAGAAAATCCAGTGTCATTGTTATCAAGTACCCTGTTTCAGGCCTGAGTGGCAGTGGGAAAGGGGACTGCGGGACCAAAGCTACAAGGCAATTTCCCTCCTCCTTTGAACTAGAACTCCTCTCTCGGTTGCATTTCCTACGGGTTCTTGTTACCTCTGCCTGAGCTCGCCAGCACTCTTGCTTTGGGGCCTGGATTCAAGGCAATGAAGTACTCTCTGACCTTTAGTAGTTAATTACTTTTCCCTGTCGGAGTCAGAACTGGAGGGCTTCGTTGAATTTTATCTGTATGCCTTTGCCAATGTTTGGTATCAGTTTAGGCCAGGAGTTTTAGAGACCAAGAATACAGCAAAATTCACTGCCATTTCAGTAACAGTTCCATTTGGGAATGTTTGTGTATTGATCTTCATCTACTTTAAACCCAGACAAGGAGATCGCTACAGCAAGAGAGCAAGGTTTTGCATCTCATACTTCATTCTCCAGATGTCTGAGCAGCAGTCTGAAGCCAGAAACCAGGAACCCCATCCAGGCCCTGCATTTAGGAGGCAGGGCCCAAGCATCTGCTGCCCGCTGGGATGCATTAGCAGGAGGCTGGATCTGAAGCAGAGCAGCCGGGACTCAAATGGACACTCCAGTATCCCAAGTGATGGCTTAGTGTGCAGCTCAAAGCCATGCTGAGTAGATGATATTTCGAATCATGGTCTTTCTCTAGAATGCCTGTGATAATTTATGTTTTTCAGAGTCTCCAACTATCTTTTCCATACATTTTATTCAGGTTTTATTGATGTATTTAGTTATTGGCTATAGACAAGGTGGAGTGTGTATGTATCTAATCCAGATTTGTAACTCCTTCCTTTTGGCTGAATCCTGTAATGGTGGACCAGCCTTAGCCAATGTTTTTTGCCATCATTATTGCCATCATTTTTCCTCCCCCACCCCTTTACCTCCCTTTGTTTTTTATGCTCTGTTGCTTTTGGTTTCTTGTGTAAACCGGGAGAGGGCATTAGAAAGTGTGTGTGGTGGTGTTTGTGCTTCCGTGTTGCTGAGCCGGTTTGCTTTGTAGTTGGTGTCTTAGTGGAACGTGCCTCTTGCATCCTGGCTCACCACTGTTGAGTGCCATGCCATCATTACCAGCTGATGTGATCACAGGAGCCCGTTTTCCTCTTTTCTGTCCTTTCTGATTATTCCTGTCCTCACTGATCTCTGATTTTAGGTCAAATTCTACATCAGACACTTTGTTTTTCTTTCAGTGTACCAGAGGCAGTGAAAATTTGCATTTTCGCCTTCATTATCTCCATGCTCTCTTTGAATCAGGATTTGCATTGGTTCATGTGTGTGTAGAGAGGAGGTGGGCATTGTATCAGTGGTTTGGAAACCTATTGGTAATCCATAACTTTAGGAAATTTGGCTTTTGTTGTTTCTAGTATTTTTTTTAGACAGCAGTGCTATCTTTTCTTTTAGTTAATTAGCTAGGTGAGCAACTTCATCTTAACCTAAATACTGAATGTAGTGCTTTTCTATGGCGAAAAATCAGAGAAGCACGAATATTTGATCTATAACTTGTTTTACTTGTATCTAATGGTGGTTCCAGTACTAGTTGTTCATATAGTTTACAGATGAGAGGGGAGAGAAGGAGGGAAGGAGAGAGTACATAGAGAGAGCGAGAGTGAGCTCTAGAGAAACCAAAAGGAAAGCAGAGAAGGAGAGAGATCCGTCTTCATTCTGTTGGTTCACTCCTCAAATGGCTGCAGCAGCTAGGTCTGATCCAGGCAGAAGCCAGGAGGCAGGTATTCCATGTGGGTCTCCCGATAAGTGGGAGGGTCATCTTCCTTTGCCTTCCCATGCATATTAGCAAGGAACTGGGTGGTAAGTAGAGCTGTCTGGTGCTCCATTGTGTGATGTTGGTATCCCAGGCTGTGGCATAACTCACGAAGCCACGTTGGCCTCTGCTAGCCACTTCTCAATGTTAAAGTGATAGGCAAGTAGAACTGAGTTGTTTCTTGCATGTGTTATGGACTGCAGAGAACAGCCAGCGTTTGTAACGATGGCTAGTGTCTCTGTCTCCTCGGACTGCATTTCCTTAAGGTACTGATGATGAAAATTAAAACAGAAATCTCAGGGTAGTTTGTAGTCGGAGAAGAGTAGGAATTCTTTTGGATAACAAGGAAGTTAAGATAGATGTTCTTGTTATCATTTTTTCTTGAAGTTACAGGTCATTTGACAAGTTCTCCCCAGCTGTGTTACGCTCCAGCCCACACATGTGTCAGCAGGTTAAGTAGTGTAAGATTTGCTCACTTTCATGTTCATGCTTTCTTTTACTCACTATTAAAATTCCTTATGATTAATTATCCACAAATATATTTTTAAATTTCAGATTTCCTCAAGTTGCTGGAATAGAATTTGGATTTGATCCAGATGCAGAACCAGGACACCGAATCATAAGAGATACTGTCAAAGTTCAAGGACAATATTTACAGAAGAAGAAAGTTTACCTTCTTGCTATTAAGGAGTACATTGCAAATGTGAGATTGATTCCTTTTTTCAAATTACTTATTTTTATTGGAATTGCAGACTTACAGAGAGAAGGAGAGACAGAGACAAAGATCTTCCATCTGCTGGTTCACTTCCCTAGTGGCCATGATGGCTGGAATTGACCTTATCTGAAGCCAGGAGCCAGAAGCTTCTTCACATTTCCCATGCAGGTGCAGGGATCCAGGGACATGAGCCATTTACCACTGTTTTGGGTCATCCATTGCACCGGCCCAAGATGAATATTTTTATAAAATTTTTCAAGTAAAATCTTTTATAATTAAAATAAGTGTTTTCCATTGTGTTTTTACAAGTCATAAACTTATATTTTATTTATTGTATGCAGCTGTTGTTAATTTTGTCATATTATCAGATTGAAACATACAAGACTGTTAGGGATGAATAAACAGAGAGCATGAAAGGTCATTCAGAAACGAACTTTTATTACTGTGGCAGGGCAGCCATCACCTCACAGGTTGATGTGCCGAAACAAAGAAAGTGAGGGTTTTTAGACTTTTATAAAAACATAGTGCAAGTGGTGGGGAAGGAGGTGTGCGGAGCACAGATTAGCCGAGTTTGCACAGGGTCAGAGTAGCCCCTAACAGTCCCAAGCAAAGGGTACATCAGTGGCTCTGCTGCGGGAAGAAAGGAATCAGGGAACATTCCAAGGGACAACAAAACGTCATCCTCTGGGGTCGGTCTTTGCAGGACTCCAGGTGTATGTCCAGCCTTGCATGGACAGTGTCCTCCGCTTTACATCTCATGGAATGTCGGCCAGGCATCAGCATCACAGGGCGTCTATGATTTATGCTAATTAATTTTATTCTCACAGGTGCAGCAGAAGTTGCTAAATAATAACAAAGAAGATCATAGTGGTTTGCTCAACTTTAAGTTGAGTGATAAACACTTCAAACATCTTTAATGGGCATAGTTTAAGTTTTTCAGAATCACTGATGCGGGCTGGTGTGGTGGCTTGACAGGCTAATCCTCTGCCTGCAAGTGTAGGTATCTCATGTGGGCATCAGTTTGTATCCCAGCTGCTCCACTTCTGAGGCAGCTCTCTGCTTGTGGCCTGGGAAAGCAGTGGTGAATTGTTCAAGGTTTGGGAGGCTGCAGCCACATGGGAGACCAGGAGGAAGTTCCTGGCTCCCCGCTGAGGATTAGTTCAGAGTGGATAGAGGACCTTCTCTCTCTCCTCTCTCTGTAAAAATGTCTTTCAAGTAAAAATAAATGTATTTCAGAATTATTTATGCCATATCTCTGCAGAATGAAGCTTGGATGTCTCAGGTGATTTTTCAGTTTAGTTCAGTGGGTTCTGCAGTACTGGGGTCTGGAACAGTGCTGGGGGGTGGTAGCAGGGAATTGATTTGGTTTAGTTGATGCTAAAATCTCTATGTCTAGTGTCCCAATGTTGAGAGCTGTTGAGGTCTGGAGCTCAGTAACAGTGCCCTGAACAGGCCTCTGTTGATTGTACTGTTCGTTCATGGGCAGGGAGCATAGTGTGCCCATTCCTGACGATTCCGGGCAGTAGAGCTGAGCACAGTGTGTTAAGGACAGCACGTTCAGAGCCAAGATTTTAAAGCATGTCAACCTGCATATATGCAGATGTCTTTTTGCATATGTGGATGAAACTGCTTATGAGTTCCGGCTTTACATTTTAAATGAATATTGTTTTTCATTTGTTTATAATTTTAGATTAGAAAAATGACAGTATGTTTCAATATTTCAGGGAAAGGACGGTTACACCATGCTTAAAAGTTGCCCTCGGATATTTGACACAGAAACTGCACAAGTCCTTTCTACAGTTGTCATGAATCACTTTGAATCGATAAAGATTGTGCAGGGAAGAAAGCAGTGTCTTTCCGGCCATCGGATGAGTTTAATCATTACTGCCAGCAAGACTGCGTCGCTGACAGGTGACAAGAAAGTTTTCTTAGCAAAGTTTCTTTATAAAAGTAACGCTTTTTATTCTGAACATTGGATAAATAATATTCTTTTTTCTTAAGTTTATGGAAATATAAATAGAGAATGAATTACAGTTACAAGAAAGTCATAAGGAAAAATGTACATCTCCAAAGCACAAATAAATTCTAGGAGATTATGTAGTTTTCAAAATCTTCTGCTTTACAATACTTATATATTTTTTAAAAAATTTTATTTATTTTTATTGGAAAGTCAGATTAAGGAGAGAGAGAGAAAGGAAGATCTTCAATCTACTGGTTCACCCCCCAAGTGGCCACAAAGGCCAGAGCTGAGCTGAACCAGAGAGAGCTTCCTCCAGGTCTCCCACGCAGGTGCAGGGTCCCAAGGCCTCGGGCCATCCTTGACTGCTTTCCCAGGCCATAAGCAGGGAGCTGGGCGGGAAGTGGAGCAGCTAGGATATGAACAGGTGCTCATGTGGGATCCTGGTACATGCAAGGCAAGGACTTTTGCTGCTAGGCCATCATGCCAGGCCCGACCATCTTAGCTATCTTTGAGTTTTTCTGTTACTGGTATTTTAAATTCGCTATTATAAGTATTTAAATTGACATATTTGGTTTCCTGTCAAACATATTGTCTTTCCCTACTATAAGTGCTGTGTCTAAACATGCAAAGCTCATTTCATTGATTTGGTTTAGACGTTTGGTTCTTTTGAAATGTCACTGAGTAATGCTTCAAGACCAGATTGGGTCATATTCATAATGCGAGTTTTAAAACTGGTTATTTCTTTGATAAAAATAATTATATTCTTAGATATCTCTGTTTTTTGAAAATCCTATTTTAAGTTAAAAATAAATACTGTCCTTTTGTTTATTTCTAAACAGTGTTTACACTGAAATTTCATTCATGATTACACGGTTGCTTCTGAGAAGTACATTCAGAGACATTCTGATCAATATTTTATTTGTGAATGCTAGGAAGCCTACACATGCAGCTTTTCTTTAGGTATAATATTAGATATTAGAATATTTATACTGAGGGGTGCGATATACTTTCATTGGTTTCATTTGCAGCCTTTGAAGAGGAATCAGACAAGCCATCAGTAGTAATTGCTGTCCCTGGCATCGAAGGACGGATTTGCCATATTTCTCAAGACATGAAAGAACATTTACATCAGCTTAGAACTGCAAGAAAGCAAGGCTTACAAGCTTTTCCCACCACTAGTGATAATGCAGCAGAAAATTCTGATTCGGATTGAAATACCCCATCAGTAATATTTTATTCGTCAAGCCAAAATGAACTCAATTAGCATAAGTTTACCGTTGTTAAGAATAGTAGTGTAACGATTCTTTTGTATTCTAGAATTGATTTTCATCGTAGATATTGATATGTTTTCTCTTCTTTTCACTCTTATCAAGTCATGTAGTCGTGACTCTTTGACACAGAGAACACTACCTGTGTACTTGTGAACATATTTGTGATTTAAATCTGTACATTGCATAACGCTTCCAAATTAAATGATTTTCATGCTTACCTCTCCACAGTACTTATTCACACATTATCATTTTTCCTCTCAGTCCTGTTCTGCTTTTTTTTCTATTTGAATGAAATATCTATTTTTTTTTTCCTTCCCTTGCTGTGTTAAAATAAGTTATTCCACTGTCTTTTATGATGAAGACCTCGGAATAGGAAAAAAAAAATTAGTATAAAGAAACACTGATAATTACTATTCTTTGTTCCAGTAAAGATGATGATGAAATTATAAGGCATAGCAGCAGGATATTAAATATTTTCTTTATAGAAATCCCGAGTTGTTCATCTTATTGAAATAGAAAATATGAAAGCTTTTATGCAACCTTCCCACCTGTTATCATTCCAAGTTAAAGCAGTTTTTCTTCTTACCAGAGAGAAAAGAGAGAATAGTATAGCATTTATCAACTGGCAAATTCTTTCACAAAAGCTTAAAGCCAGATAGGATTACATTTGTAATGGTTTTATAAATTGGTTAATTAATTGAAAAAATAATGCTTCTGCCCAAATATACCTCATTTAGATAGTTTCAAATTTTTGGAATTAAAATACATAACCTTTTAAGTCTTTCTGATTTTCTCTGTTAAAACCTACAAATCATAATTAGGGCCAAAGGGCATTTCCTTTCTAGGGAGGCCAAACTTGGCTTTTATTTTTAATTTATACAGAGAGACAGACATACCCACTTAGTGTCTTGCTTAGAAATAATGAGTAGCAGTAGCCGTAAGAATGTGCACTAGCATAATTAACGTAAGTGGAGGTTTGTCTGGGAGAAGGCTCACTCTTGATTTAATTTCCCTCTGCTGTAGCCCTCTCAGCCATATATAGACATGAACCTGCTGACATATGTGTGTCCTGCTTTGCTCTGATGAGCCCATGACAACAAGAAGCACAAAGGAATAGAAGCCCTTGCTCTCAGCAGCAACTTCAGCTCTCATCTGAATAATTAGATACGAGGCAGATTTGGAAATTCTATTTTTAAATTAGTAGAAGTGTATAGACTCCTAGGTGACAAGAACTCTATTCTGATTTCCTCAGGATGTGGAGTTGGCATTTAAATAGGATTTAGGTTATGGCCAAGTTGAATTATGCATCCTTTATATAGTAGGTGGGCATTCGTTAAATAAATAATTATGTATTGAAAGTGTTCTGTTTGGTCTTCTGAATGCATGAATGGATATGAGGGAAGCTTGTTAGTATTTGTTACTGTGGAGCTTTATAGTAGCATTTACTGTGGAGTATCCAGAAGAGGTTCTGTTCTCTATGAAACTAGAATGAGTTGTAGTGAAGGAAGTTAAGACCACAATTGGAACAAATTCATAACAGAGAGCTGAAACTGAGATAAAAAAATGAGTCGTAAAAAATACTTGAGTATATTCTGGCTTACTAATGGCTTTGATATGTTGCTGATATTAACTTGGAACACAAATGCTTTGCATGTTCTAGATAAAATCATTTCACTTCGGAAAGATGACCCATGCACAATTACTTGTAGAATTATGTCAATAAAAATAGGAACATCAAAAAACTATTCATTCAGGAAAGCTGCAAGTATGATGTTTTAAAAAGTGACAGCTTAATTCCGTATTAGTTCAAGAAGAGCTAAATAGAACTTACTTTAGTAACCCTATAAATAGTGCAAATGTATAGTGAAACTGTGTTTAATTGTTAAGAGAACATGTTAAGCTGGCTTCTCAATCCATTTTTAACATCATTCTTACGATAAATCTTCAAAGCCTTGCTCTCCCACCGGGGCCGTTTACCGTTTTCTTCTCATTACCCTGAGTTGATGAAGTTTGTGGTAGTTCGTGCTGTAGCAGTTTCTGTCAGCTGCACGTTACCATGCTGCTGCCTTGAGGTTCTCTGTTTCTCTGCTGCAACCAACCTACTTATTTGCCTCTTTCATTTTTTTTAAGATTTATTTTTATTATTTTTTATTGGAAAGGCGGATATACAGAGAGGAGAGACAGAGAGGAAGATCTTCCATCCGATGATTCACTCCCTAAGTGAGCGCAACGGCCAATGCTATGCTGATCCAAAGCCAGGAGCCTCTTCCAGGTCTCCCACGCAGGTGCAGGGTCCCAAAGCCTTGGGCCGTCCTGGACTGCTTTCCTGGGCCACAGGCAGGGAGCTGGAAGGGAAGCGGGGCTGCCAGGATAGAACTGGCCCGCATGTGGGATCCTGGGCGTGCAAGGCAAGGACCTTAACCACTTGCGCCACCGCTTCGGGCCCAACCTCTTTCGTTTTTTAAAGTGGGTGTTTCCTAGGGTAAATGAAGGGGAGAGGGAGAAGAAGGGAAGACAGGCTCCAAGGTCAGGAGTTGAGAACTCGGTACCCATTTCCCAGCTAGCGTTGACGTCGCCTGCTGTTGTCCAGGCGCTGCATCAGCAGAAAGCTGGGGTCTTAAGCAGAGTGAGTCCAAGATGGGACATGGATGTACCCGCTGTGTCAGACACCCACCTGGTGTTTGTCACTTTCTACTATCTGCAATTCAGCATCAAATCTCATTTTGTTTTCCTTGACACAGGATGTGTCTGTTTCTGACAGGTATTGCTCCCTCTCAGGAGCATGGATGTGTTAATGAAAACAACTATTCTTCGGATGAGGCTGTCTTTTCCTATGGAAATTGAAAAGGGAGAGCAGATCGTATTAATCCAATGTTGATAGTGTACTGAGGAGCTAGCCTTGGGGTGGAGCGAATTAAACCTTTGCCTGTGACACCTGCATCCCGTATGAGCACCGGCTCGAGTCCTGGCTGCTCCGTTTCATTCTAGTTCCACGCAACTGTGCCTAGGGAAGCAGTAGTTGATGGTCCAGGCACTTGGCCCCCACCAGTCACATGGGGGATTTGGATGGAGTTCCATGCTGGTGGCGCAGGCCTAGCCCAGCCCTGCTATGGCAGCCACTTGGGGAGTGAAGTAAAGGATGGAAGAGCCCTGTCTGTTTCTCTTCTCCCTTTCTGTACCTATGCTCTCAATTAATAAATGGATACTGAGAAAATTATTAAGCAAAGAGTTACCATTTGGCAGAGAAAGTAAGTGATATTCAGTATGAGATCACAAGCTTTAGCATATGTCAGAGCTTACCCTAGGGAACCATTGAATAATCCCTATTGCTACACCAATTAAATCAGAACGTTTGGGAGTTAAGACCAAATATTGTGGGACTTGAACTACTACTAGGCATTATTATTTTCAGAAACTCCCCTAGTGATTCGACTATGTGCCAAGTTTGAGAACCAAAGAAAAAGATCTGTGGTTGGCACACAACAGCTTATGACCCCAAAGCAGCCTGATTGTGTAATTAAAAAGAAGGTTCTGAGAGTAAAAAGGTTGAGGCATCTGGTACAGCTATTCACCATGCAGTTTGGGATTCCCATAGTTGTTAGGGAAGTGCCTAGGGTCACGTGCCATCTCTGCTTCTAGCTCCAGCTTCCTGCTGATGTGCACCCTGGCAGCGGCAGACTATGGCCCCACGGTGTCTGGGGCCCTAACACCGTGTGAGATTCATATTGAGTTCCAGGCTCCTGCCTTTCGCCTGGTCTACCCTGGCTATTATCAGTCTTTGAGGAATGAGTCTGTGTCTCTTTATTTTTCAAATAAAATGAAAATGCATTTTTAAAAAAATATTTAAAATTAAATTAAAAAGAAAAAATTAATAGAATATGTGACAAGTGCAAGATGTGGCTTGTAAAACCTAAAATCTTACTGTTTGTACCTTTATTGAAAAAGTTTTGCGGGCCTGTGATTTATCGTTGAATGTCAGTTGCATTGGTACCACATGAGAACTGACACAGCAAATTATGAGATACAGCGAAGTGTATTTGTAAGCCATTAATTTTGGGGTAGTATGTTAACAATAGCTAACTGGTCTTCTAAGTAGAACATTTAATTACTTTTATGGAACCAGAGAAGACTTATTACAGGACAGGCTGTACTCTTTTCTTCTTCTTCTTCTTCTTTTTAATATTTACTTATACTTTGTTCAAAAGGCAGAGTGACAGAGAGGAAGAAATCCACTGGTTTACTCCCCAAATGGCCACAAGTTCAGGACTGGGCCAGGAAGAAGTTGGGAATTCCTAGTTGGTCTCTCACATGGTTGGACAGAAACGCAGTTACTGGGCCATCATCCTCCAGTTTGCTCAGACACCTTAGCAAGGAGATGGATGGAAAGGAAGCAGCTGGGACTTGAACCAGCACTCGTATGGGATGCCATTGTCCTGAGTTGCAGCTTCACCTGCTATAACACAGCAGCCACGCTGATGGTGCACACTTTTAATTCACGTCTCTAAAATGGGTCATACTGTATCAATAGCCCAGGATAAAGGATGATCAATTGAGTATATCATGTATAATGGCTTTGTGGCACGACATCTTGACTAGGCTAAACTACAATCCCTAAAATTTCTTCTCCAGTATGTTTCTGGATGAGGTTAAAAAAGCTGTTCTGTTGGGACCAGCGTTGTGGCCCGACAAATAAAACTGTGCAACACTGGCATTCCATATGGGCATCAGTTAAATCCTGGCTGTTCCTGCTACTGTGGCTAGGAACGCAGTGGAAGGTGACCCACCTGCCTCACACGGGAATCCTGCAAGATGCTTCTGGCTCCTGGCTTTACACTGGCCTACATCTGGCTGTTGTGGCTATTTAGGGAGTGAAACAGGATGGACAGTCTCTCTGTGTCTCTCTCTAACTCTGCCTTTCAAATGAGTAAGTATTTTTAAAAAA